GGCTTTAAGAATCTTGAGTGACTGCTTAACTATTATGGTCTTGTTTTCATTCCTGATATAATCTGTTTTTTTATACAACTTTCTGTGACAGCAAGCCCATTTAATATGAAGCCTATTAAGTCAAAAGTAGTTTGAGTATTGTTGCCAGGCTGGTCTGAAACATTACTTTTCTAAAGTTGCTGTAGTGGCAACATGCGTGTTCATAAGGCTCTTATTGTGGATAAATCCATGTGTTGTGCTTTACCATTGCTTTGGTAAAATATTAGATCACAGTGTTGTGCAGTTGTGTCCTTTTCTGTGCATTTGAAAATCACATTGATCACTGAACGCTGATGCGTTGTAGTTGATCGGTCTTGATATGTGATTTTTGCTAACTGCTGGTTCAAATGGTGGGTCTTTGAGGTGGGGGACTGCTGGATTACTTGCTGCCTTTCCCAAGATTGCCCCTCCCCCTGAACACAAACCCTCTGTTTCCCTGTCAGCCTTAATAATGGTTTAGGTTTTGTTTAGCATCAACCTTAACCATCATTAATGCTAAGCAAGGTTTCATCTTAGCCAGGATTTGAAATCGCTACTTGAAACTGGTTTCAAATTTTGCTTAAAATGAAAATCTGATACTCTTGGAATGTAAAACATATCCAGTTGTGCCTAGTGGTATGAGAGACCTGGGTTCCATTTAACTTATGTTTGTCTTATTTGGTCACTGTCAACCAATACTCCCTCTAAGCCAGGGATGTCAAAAATGCATCCCAGGGGCCAAATCAGGCCCCCAGAGGGCTTCTATCAGGCCCACAGTAGAACTGGCTGTCTTCTTCTTCCAGTTCTGCTGTTGCTGTGTCATTGTAGGTTTGCAGCTTACAGATACACACCTGAACAGGATACTCAAGATTGCAACAGCACAGACATTTTGATGCAGTAATTCAGACCAAGAGGTGTCAGTTAGCAGACACTATTAAATAAACAAAATATTGCAAGAGTGCTAATGTTTTAAGCATGTTTATATTTTAAGTTAAAAAAAACCCCTTTGTGTTTGTGTCTTTTATAAAGTTTATATCTCCGCTACCTAGCATTACATTTTATGACACACATGTCCCAGCCCAACAAGGTATCATTTATGCCAGAACTGTCCCTCATAACAAATGAGTTTGACACCCCTGCTCTAAGCTGTGGAGTCTTGTGAGCAAAAATTCTGCTTTGTGAGCTACTGACATTAAAGTCGTAAGCGAGCAATATGGCTGCTACATGAATTAGTTTGTTCTGGAGCCATCCTTCCTGAGCTGGTTCACACTAACTCAGCTTAGAGGGAACACTGCTGTCAACCCAAACTTGGTGCCAGTGAGATCTCAATTTTTGTTTGGAAGATGCCAAGATCAAGCGCGAGGGGTCAAGTTGGAGATATATTTTAGTTCTTCAAATTCTGGTGCTTGGCTGTTTCTGTTTCACTAAAGTCCTTTAAAATGGTATCAACCTTTTATTTTTATGACTGTGGAACTCAGTTGATCTGAGAATCCCATGCATGATGCCCATACACTGTTCTTTTAAAATGAATTCCAAACAACCACAACTGTGTAATGTTGCAAACTAGCTTTGATATTTAGCCACATTTAACAGTCTTTGTGCCTGAGTTGCCTATCAGATGTTAAGAGACTAGCTGCTTGTGTTAAATGGGTTGGTTTAAGCAAAGACTATTTTACCAGACAATGCTAAATTTGGGGATTATAGGTACTGTTCACATGCCAATGATACAGTCTCTTGGACTGCATTGCTAAATGGACTGCATTGCTAAATGGAATCTGATAAAATGTCTATTATAGTTATTGAATCATGTACCTCTTACCTTAGCATTAGCTGCTTCACCAGAAATGTATTTTGATTCTTACTCACCGTGTAACAATAATTGACCCAAGGTACTGAATGCAGATATGATATTATATGATACTTCCAGAATACAGCATTACTTCCTAGTAAATTGCTCTTGTGGCACTTCCGCCAGTGGTTACGGTGAACAAGAGCTTTGAGTTGTTATCATAACATCATTACTTATTCTTTCTGAAATTTTGGCACTTTAGAGTTCAATAAGCAGAGATGCAGAGAGGTACTTAACCTGTAAGCCCTTGTTAGGCCATGCATGAGATTTTATCTGCCGTAATATTGCAGAGTGCTAGCTTCCTTTTTTGTATCTGCTGCCCTGCCTTGTTTAATCCCAGCACTGAGTGTGGTTGGTTTAGTTTTGAGTTAAAGCCAGGCATTTTATGCCAAGTTAGATTTCTAGATTGGGTGGGAGGAGCTAGGAAGGTAAAAATGCATAATAAAGCATTGGTAATAAGATTCAGGTGGGTAGCCGTGTAGGTCTAAAGGAACAGAACAAAGTTTGAATCCAGTGGCTCCTTTAAGACCAACAGAGTTTAATTCTACTTTGCTGACCATTACGTACAGGTGTGGGGGGGTTAGTTGCCAGGAAGGGCTAATTGGAGTAAAGATAAATGAGTAATTAGTAATTAAGCAATCAGCCCTTCCTGGCAATTACCCTATATGTAATGGTTGGCAAAGTCTGTTTCAATGTATCTGAAGAAGTGTATGCACACACAAAAGTTTATACCTGGAATTAAACTTTATTGGTCTTAAAGGTGCCACTGGACTCAAACTTTGTTCTGTATTGTTAGTAAGTAAGACTGTAGTACCATGAAAAATACTCCTGAGATTAATGGGAAGCACAGTCTGGTAGAGGTAGATGCTTTCTAAATGGCTGTGGAAAGAACGTCTTTCATGTGGGTTGATCTTATCTTGCTTGAGTTTTCTAGAGATTGTATGATCAGATATTGCTGTTGAAATCACTACTGACCTATTTGTCAATTTGCTGTTGAGTGTTCATTGTGTAAAAGGTAGTGTTCCTGTTTGACTCTGGGTTGTGCCAAGCTGGTCTGTTGACTAGTCTGATCTTGTTAGATGGGCAGGCAGAGCTAAATATTGTCACTCTTTACATGAAGCTAAGGATGTTACAGTATAGAGGACAGTTTACCTTTTTATCTTTACAATGCCACTTATTAGGGCAGATGGAAGACCTTGTAGCAGGGGATATTTTCCTGTCTATCATGAGGCTAACTCGGGCTAAAGTATTAGGTGAGGTTCCAGGATGGGGGCAATAGTGATATCTTTCAGAGACCACTTAAGAGATGCTGGTTTATTTCATCATTGGCTGTTGTTATTGTTCAGTCACACAGTCCAGTCCAACACTTTGCGATCCCATGGACCACATCACGCAAGACCCTCCTGTCTTCCATCGTCCTCTGGAATTTATTCAACCATGTTCATTGCATTGATAGCTGTCTGTACCTCTCATTTTTGCGTTAGAAGAACATTACCTTTTAACCTGCAAAGACAGAGATGCACCGTTGTTGAATGCATTGTTGTTCAGTGTTGGCTTATTCTAAACATTGGGTTGGACCCAGCCAACTGTCTCACTCACCCAGTTCCCCTCCTTATTAAGTCTCTGCCCCACACAGCTTTTGTCCAGGCCCATCCTATGATCTACAGTGTAGCCTTTTTGATGGTCAGAGGGGACCTCCTCCTTCCCTTTTCATCACTGGAAAAGCTGGTTGGATCCAACCAAACGTGGAGAACAGCAGGATGCAAGAGTTCTTTTGAATGTTTTCAATTATCCAGAATCCTGGCATATAAGCTTTTAAAATGAAGAAGTCTGTGTGAGGAAGAGCCAGTTAAGTTGGAGGACATCTCCCCAGGGGAAAGCGTCACCCTTCGCTCAGTGGAGTGATAGATGAACCACTTCTGTGGTGATCTCTGTGTAACAGGAAAGCTAACTTGTCCCCTGCCAGGGAAAGCAGATCTACTTTCAAACGCATTACAGCATAATACAAAGTCTTGAGCTCTGATCCAAACAGAACCATGCACAGCACTGCTACATACTGTATTGACAAGTGTCTTGCTACTCTGTGGTGTGTTAGTGTTGCTGAAGCTACTCATCAGTTTATAGAGAGGGTGTGGGATTGAATCTAGACTCTTCCTAGATTCAAAGTTTTGGCTCCAGTAGCAGGCAAGGGTGTGGGATTGAATCTAGACTCTTCCTAATAAGGTTTTGGATCCAGTAGCAGGCAGTGTTCATGCATCTGCCTGATGAAAGGTGCTACATGTGTAAATATTGCTGCATTGAAGTGATATTCAGTATTGATGCTGGGGTATATGTTGCAGCCAGTACAAAGCAGCTGGCAGGAAATTGTTGTTATTCCTTGACTTCATTTCTTTTTCCTGTTCCTTTTGTCTGCAGATTCTCACAAACATAAAGATAAACACAAAGATCGAGAACATCGACACAAAGAGCACAAGAAGGACAAAGAGAAAGACCGAGAAAAATCCAAGCACAGTAACAGGTGAGACATTAGTTATTGCAGGTTGGTTGTCATTCTGGATATGCAAGACTATGCTTACTGAAACTTGATTTGAGTTTAATGATGCCTCAACATCAAGCAAGCCTTACCAATAATAAGTCAGCTTGTTTTCTATAAGGCTGGAGGATTTGACAACCAATTCTGAGTTCCCTTCTCACATACTACCTGAAGAACTTACCTTATGAGTGAGTGCAGGCCTACCATAATACATCCCATACCTCATAAGGAAGCCAGTTCATAAGCAAAGTTCTGCTGAAATTCTGTAAATTGATGAAGATGGAATTCTGAAGGTTGGTGAAGGCAAAAATATATAGCGTTGTATAAAGCAGTGCAGTTTGTAAACCCAAATAATGGCGCCACCAATGGTACGGATTTCGGGGGGGGGATTCCTATTCAAATTTAAATAAGTAATTTAAGTATTTAATGTTGGCAAAATACACCATTTTTCATATTCTACATTTAGTCATCTAACAACATTTGATTTGTAGGATAATAGCCCTGACAGCTGTAGATAAACAAACTATATTTACATCTGATAGTAGCTTTCAGTGCTTCCCTTTATTAGGTGAAAGAGGAGACCGTTTCCCTGGTGGTTGACTTTCTCTACTTTCAGGGTTTCCATATTAGTTAGTGACAATTTCTGTTGGCAGATGTTTAGCAAACCATTAAGTGATAAAATGGTACATAATTGTAAACATATGTTTTATATTTTGTGTAATTTATATTTTATTTTTTAGATTTTATAGAATTGTAAACAGATCTTTGTTTTTTCTTTGGCTTGAAAAAATAGACCTATGTGAATGTTTATCATGGCTAAAACCTATGAATAAATTCTAGGAATTTTGTGGTATGAACAAAGTGTATAATTTTGCATTTTCCTACCCCCATCTCCAGAATTGTATGTTGTGCTTCTGCGGTTACTTAATCTGTGGCCAATTTTAACATCTTGATATCTTGGTCTGAAATTCATACTTGAGTACATTTATATAAACTTTAATTTTGTTTTAATTTGTGTATGATGAGAGGCATTTGCAAGCCAAGATTATTTCAGAGTTTACAACATTCACAGATGTCTGGGTAGAGCTTGTGAATGTCTTGGCTAAGCAGTTATGTATTTTACTGGTTTCTCAAATCCTGGCAACATTCCTAACTTCAAGTGTGCAGCATCCTTCTTATCATGGGGTGTGTGTTTTCTCCATCACATTTGTACATTCTTGTAAAAACTGTGTGTTTCATCTTTAAACTAAGTAGTGTATATAGGCCTTCAGATTGTTCCTTTGAAGGGTTTCAAATTACCAGTGCTTGTATAATTTTAAACTACTTGCAGTCTCACCCTTTTCATGTACTGTGGGAAGAAGAATGGTCAATGCCACTACTGTACCTTTTTCAACAAATGTGTTTTCCTGGATGTGGACAATTTGACTTGTGACTTGGGAAATGTGTCTTTAGTGAATCTTTGCCTTCTAACTCTTCATTATTATTTATATATGTGGTCACACTGAAAACTACGCTTCAGCTTTGCCACAATGGCATCTTAAATGGATGCATTTAGGCACCTAATCACCCATCACCTCTTGAAAAGATGTTCCTTATCCAGCTGTATATTCAAGATGATCTTCCTGAGCAACACAGAAACACAGTAGACTTTGACCAGTTTGTCTCCCCCCCAGTGAAGTGTGTTTCTCCAAGGCCAGTATATAAATATACTTGTGGTCCATATTATATACTTGTGTGTTGTTGTTGTTATTGAGATGAGTGGCCAGAACCTGTATAAAATATGGGCTATTAGCATAATTTATCTTGTTTTGCAGAATTTATTCTGCTTCGACTAGTTATAGGGCTTTCAAGTGTATCTTTTGGAATCACAAAGGCTAGAAACCTACATTTAAAAAAAAATTAAAGCTGAGGTTATTGAGAAGCTAGACTTTGCCTACATGCTGCTGCTCCATGCTCAAGCAGATATTCTCTCTCTCTGCTTTGCAGCACACTTATATGAAACAACTTGTATTGCACATTTATGGACTATGGATAAGTAGTCAATGGAAAAGACAGAAACCCCTTAAGGGAATAAGGAAAGATGCTTGGAGCAAAAAGAACGGTACCCAGTATTTTAATTTGGTTCTGTAACTATAGCAACAGTTTTTGGTATTTTGTGGAGTCAGAGTATATCTAGAAATATGGTACTGTGATGCCTGACCATTCCTCTAAATCCACTTTTTGTATATCAGAATCTGGCTGACTACATTTCCTGTGCCAGTACCTCACAAAGCAAACTGTAGAATAGGTGAATTTTATTTCACTAGACCAGTTAAAGTGCCTTAAGTGTGTTTCAGGCTTTCAGTTCTCAAAGGCTGGCATTAGGCCTCTTGTTCTTCTTTTATTTATGTAAGGTATTCATACCCTGATGTTCCATCATTAAGGACCCACAGGCTTGACCATCCATTTAAAAAAAATCATAAAATGATATAAAAATGGTGGCAGAGGGAAGGAACAGCATGAGTTCTAGGGATAAAACACACAATTCAGCATAAAACAAAGCTTATGGGTGTGGTTTTGTTTTGGTTTTTGCTTCTGAATACCAGCACTTGAAGAAGCACATGGGTTTTAAGGGCTGGCAGCAATTCCAGAAAGGTAGCTGGATCAACAAAAATGATCATCTCATCAGTTCTGTATCTCTTTGTGTATGTGAAACCATGGCTAAAAATGTGGCCTGTGTATTTGACAGCTTCTCTTTGAAGCTTTGTGTTCAGCTTCTCTGTTTTACACGAAGAGGAAGTCTAAACATGGTTCCATGCCTCCAAGTGTATACAGAGAAAGGCAAGAAACATTTGCTTGGTTATGTCATACTTAACTTGCTTTCCTGTTTAATTAATCTCCTAAACAAGAAGTTACAACTTAGCTTTAAGTAGAGATCCCATCAGTAGAGAGTCACACTAGCCTAAGCCTGTTAGAGAGAACAGTGAAGTCTACTTGAAGCAAATGCCCTCTTAAGAAATAGCATTGCCTCAATCTGCACATGGAGTAAAGGGCTTTTTGCTCTCCCCCCCCAAACACATATCTTCAAACTACTTGGCTTTGTGTGAGTCAAATCAAAAAGCTTTTATGAAAACAATGTATCTCTCTAACATAAAGATAGGGAACGCTCACTTTAAAACTCTTCACAGTAACAAGAATATCTTCTACCGAGTGTTATATGCTCTTGTGCACAGAATTATTAGTGGAAGGATCCTTTTAGACTGTTGTGCTGAATCAAATAAGGATTTGGGGTCTCCCTCCCCCCATCAGTTCAGTCAATGTGTTGAGTGCTTCTCTGGTTTAAATGTTCAGTTTGTCTGTATCACATCTTATGTACTCTACCAGTTAGTCAAGATCCCTAGTTTTCCACTTTTTTAGTTTACATTTCACTTTTAGGTATTTATTTTTCTAATAATTTAAAGCTTCATAAAACATTATCCCTCACAAATCACAAGTTCAAAATATATTTCTTAGAGGTATTCCTTCCAGGAGATAGACTATATAGATATAACCAAAGGTAACCCTTAAATAAGCCATCAGAATATATTAAGTATCTGCAGTAAAGTTACATTGGAAATAGCTTGTATTAAAATATCAGAATGTCTTATTTGAACAGTTAGATGACAAAATGATTTTTCCCCCTTAAATTTGGGGTTTACAGAAACATTGTTGTAAGACAACCCAGTAATTTCAGTAGCAGTAATGCCTGTCCAGGACTATGATGGTGGAATGAAGAAGCTGTCCAGTGTAAGTTTTTTCCTACTCTGGTAGGAGGCCAGTCCTCTGATCTGCTTTAAACTGGATTCTTCCTCCTGAAGAGTCTATGTAATAGGAGACTGAATATTCAAAGATGTGGCCCCGTGTTTTGCTTTTGACTAACTGGGACAGCTTTCCTCACAGTGGAAGTGTAAGATTGGAGAATCTGCCTGGATTATTCTGAAAATGTGCATGTTGAACAAAGTAAAGCAGAACAGTGTTCTCTGAAATGTTCTTAAAAACTTTGCTTTCAATCGGCATCTATCCCAAGGAATCCCTTGACCTTCCCTTAAATCCTATAGTTGTCCCAGGAATAACTCATACTATCTAAACCTACTGAGAAGTTGAGAACCAGTGGGTTCTGACTACCTCTCATGCTCATGGATGTGTGCATTCACAGAGACGAACCCTGCTGTCTCTCTCAAGCAACTGTTTAAATGTGGTGCCCAGTCAAAATATGTTTGAGCAGTTTTCATCTGTGAAGTGCTGAAGTTTCAAGATGTACAACATCTTAATTCATCAGCTATCTCTATAGAGATTCCAAGGAGTTGTAATAGTGCTTCCCCCCTCCCCCCCTAAAAAAAACCCTCCCACGTCACCTAGGCCAGAGTACAAAGTGTGGCCTGTAGAGTGTGTTGAACCCAGCAAATTACCGAATTGTCCCACAAGCTACCATTGTGGCCATGCATGCCTTGGCTGCAGCTGCATGGGATTTGCTGGCCCTCAAAGACAACAAGGCTGAGGGAACCTGGATAGAAATACCTGGATTGTTTTAGTCATTGAATCTGATGGGTGAATATTAAACGGAACAAGAGGTGGCAATTGTTTTAATCTTTTTTTTAAAAAAAACCCCTCCGCTTGTGACATTGGACTATGAAGGGCAATGAGGGGGGAGGGAAGACAAATTTGCTATGCTAAAATATTCCAGAGCCACAGTGGTGTGAAGGGAGAATCTGTTTCGTGCATCTGCTGTCCTTCTGGAAGTACTTTCTGTTTCTGCTTTCCCCCATGTGGTCGTAGAATAAGTGTCTGGTGACAGGTGCATGCCTTCCAACACTTGCTGGCTTTTTCAGTTGTGAAATGACACGTGTTCTCTTGGTCTCTGGGCAATTGAGCCAAGAAGATATTGTCTTCAAATTGACTTCCTCGGAACTGGAGTCTAGCCATTGCAGGCAAATGGATACAGTGGTGGCTCTGAAACACAAGCTGTA